CACACGCACACACACACATACACATATATAAATATACAGTTGCAATCAGAAATATTCAACCCGCAAAGATTTGTAAGGATTTATGAATAAAAATCTTTTAAAAGTGCAGGATTCTGCTTTGGATGTCTTTATGAGTTAAGAGATACATAAAATCAACACAGAAAATGTATGATGTAGTATTTGTGTGTAACAGTGTATTTTGTTAAGATAGCCATGTCACAATTATTCACCCCTATATAATATTGTTGTTATTAAAGCTTTCTGACAGTTTATATGGCCTAAAGTGGAGCTGAAACATCATTAAGCCTTTGGGAACTCTATAACGATCCTTCATTTGCTTCAGCTGTGATGCATATATAAACCCCGACCATGAAGGTTTTCAAGGTGAGTTGCAATCATGGGAAAGACAAAGGAGCTTCCACAAAAGCTGAGAGATTATTTCATCACATCTGAAGGGCCTTGGGTATAAGAAGATTTCCAAAATATTTAACATTCCAAGAGACACCATTGGGAGCATTATAAGGAAGTTTAAAACTTACAGAACAGCTGCAAACTTGCCTGGCCGTGGAAGAAAGCCCACAATTTCATCAAGGGCCCTTAGCAACTTAGTCAGGACAGCTAAGAAAAACTGCAAGACAGCTACAGGATGACATGATGAAGGCTGGTACAAGTGCTTCAGTGGCAACTATAAGATGTGAATAAACAAGGACTTCATGGCCGGACCCCAAGATGCACTCCACTCTTGACAACAAGGAACATCAGCAGTCGACTAAAATATGCCAGGAGGAATTTGGATAAGACTACAGAGTTCTGGGAGACAGTTCTATGCACTGATGAAACCAAGCAAACTTTTTGGACATACGGACCAGCGGTATGTCTGGCGTGCAAAAGGCCAGGCTTATGACTAGAAGAATACCATCCCCATAGTCAAGCACGAAGGTGGGTCATTGATGATGTGGGGCTGTTTTTCTGAGGCAGGAACTGGCAATCTTGATCGTGTACCTGGCATCATGGATTCCCAGAAATACCAGGTCATTTTAAAGAAGAACATGATGCCTTCTGTTGACAAATTAAACCTCGGTGATCATTGGATCTTCCAGCACGGCAATGATCCTAGCACACCTCCAAGTCAACCAAAGCTTGGTTGGGGAAAAGATGCTGGAGCGTCCTGGAGTGGCCTTCTCAGTCACCAGATTTAATTGAAAATCTTTGGTAGGATTTGAAGAAGGCAGTTGCAGCACAGAAGCCGTCAAACATCACTGAGCTAGAGGCTTTTGCACATGAAGAATGGGCAAAGATTCCAATCGAGAGGCGTAAGAAGCTTGTCAGCACTTATCGAAAACTTTTGTTAGAAGTTATAAAAACTAAAGGACGCTCCACAAGGTACTGAAGCTGGGGGTTGAATAATACTGCACATGCTCGTGTGTTACAAGAGTTACAATTTTCATTTGAACTTCAAAGTTAAGTCAACTTCTGTTGTCAAAATAACTCAAATATGTATCAATAAATATTTTTTGTTATTTCAGAGGTTTTTTTGCATTTATTTTCATTATCTTTCATCATCACTATAATGTCTTTTGAGGTGAGGGGGTTGAATATTTCTGATTGCAACTGTGTATAT